CTGCCACAAGTTTTTGGAAAACATGAAAAAAATGAAAATGTATTTTGTACACAAAGATATTTCTCACACACAGCAAGGTCATACTTAGAATGTATTATTATTATACAGGATTTTTATAGCACCAAGAGTTTGCAGAGTGCTTTGCAAATATAAAGGGGACAGTACAATTACAATACAGTTGAATACATAAGGAATAGGAGGTCGCTGCTCATGGAGCTTACAATCTAAAGGAAAGAGAGGTGATAAAAAAGGTGATAGCTGTGGGGGATGATCTGATGGAGGCGACTCAAGTACAGTTCTTAGGTGGAGGTGGGGTAGGCTTCCCTGACTAAGTGAGTTTTCAAAGAATGCCTAAAGGCGGACAGGGTGGGGGCTGATTGGATATACTAGGGAAGGGAGTTACAGAGGATGGGAGAGGCTCTGGAGAAGTCCTGGAGGCGAGCATAGGAGAAGGTGACAAGGGAGCCAGAGAGCAAGATCTTAGGAAGAGAGGAGCGGACTATGTGGAAGATATTTGTGGATGCGGTTGGAGATGTAGCTAGGGGCAGTGTTGTGGATGGCTTTGTGAATTGTAGTTAGTATTTTGAATTTTATACATTGGGCTAGTGGAAGCCAGTGAAAGGATTAGCAGAGAAGAGCAGCAGTCGCTGATTGGTTGGCAAGGTGTATAAGTCTAGCAGCAGCATTCAAAAAAGACCATGGGGGGATAGCCTGTGTAAAGATAGACCAGTGGAGAATGAGTTGAGGCAGGATATAACTACAGCAAGGATAAGTTGTTTTGCGGTGTCATTAGTCAGGAAGGGGCAAATTCTGGACATTTTTCTGAGGTTGAGGTGGCAGGATATAATCAGTGAAGGGATGTGGGTCCCAAGGAGAGGTCAGAGTCTAGGAATACACTTAGTACTCTGGCATGTGGGGAGGGACCAATGGTTGTGCTGTCGATCCCAATGATAAAGTAATGAGAGGGGGTTCGGGAAGGAGGAAATATTGCAAACTAGACATCCATACTGATATGTCACTCAGTAGATTTGTGATACATGAGGAGATCGAGGGGTGAGCTTGGGAGTGGGAGATAGATCTGGGTGTCACCAGTGTAGAGGTGGTATTGGAAGCCATGGGGGGTTATCAGGTGACCCAGGGAAGAGGTATAGAGAGAGAGGAAAGGAAGGACCCAAGGACAGAGCCTTGGGGTACCCCAACAGAAAGAGGAAGAGGAGCAGAGGAGTTGGTGTTGTAAGTGACGCTGAAAGTGCAGTGAGAAAGGTAAGAGAAGAACCAGGAAAGAGCAGAGTCACAAAGGCCAAAGGAGTGGAGTTTACTGAGGAGCAACGGTGTCAAAGGCAGCAGAAAAGGTCTAAGGGTATGCGCATGGAGTAATGGCCATTGGTTTTAGCAGTTAGTAGGCCATTGGGGAGTTTTAGTAGGACAGTTTCAGTGGAATGTTGTGAGAGGAAGATGGACTGTAGGGGATAAAGAAGGTTGTTGTTCGTGAGGTAGCAAGTCATATGGTTGTGGATAAGGTGCTCTAGAAGATTGGAGGCAAATGGGAGCAGGTAGATGTGTCTTAGGTTATTCAGACAGGTGGGTTAAAGAGTGGGTTAAAGATGTGGGTTAAAGAGTCTATGATAGAGCAGAAAGGAGGCTGCAATAATTGTGAGGGGACAGGTGGTGAGGTGAGCCTTGAAAAGGAGTTTGGCAACTTCCTTGGTGGTAACAGGGCTGAAGGACTGAAGGAGGAGAGTGTGCTGCTGGACCTGGTATGTTGGTTGGAAGAGGAAGCTTTACACTGGAGATCTCATCACGCTTTGTATCAATCTTGTTCTTGAAATGACTGGCAATCTCCTGGGCAGTAAGTTAGTCGGTGGGTGGAGGCAGTGGGGGATGAAGTAAGGAATTAAGGGTAGAAAACAGTTGATGAGAATTGGATGAGAGCATTTTGATGAGAGTGTTGTAGAAGGTTTGTTTAGCAGCATGGAGGCCTGAGTTGTAATTGAGAAGGGCATATTTGTAGAGGGTGAAGTCTTGCAAGGATTTAAATTGAAGCCATGCATCTCTTGAGACTTCTGGTGTCGTCTGTTTGCCAGTGTTGCAGCAGGCAAGGTCCAGGAAGGATGATAGTAAATTGTTGTTGGCAGAAATGACAAGGGCAGGGCAGGGCAGGAGAGGGGTGCAATTTTATCACTCAGTAGCAGAGTGAAGAAGGGAAGGGCTGAGGTGGCGGAGGTTTCTACGGGTAACTGTTTTTCACACCAAAACACATTTTGCTGCTCCCCCAAGCTTTGAAGGGGTTACCACATATGTTAAAGTTTTTCATTGTTTGGACTGATTATGTAGCGGACATTTTATATCACAAAAATAAACCATGAGCAGATTAATTGCAGCAGAAACAGGCAGAACAAAAGTCAAAAGCAAGCCAGGGTCAGTTCAGGCAACATTCAAGGGTGGTCAAGGCAAACTGGGACAGGTAATTGGATGCAGATAGATCACAGGTCTCACTGGAATGCTGTAGATAGGACAGCACTGAACCGGAGCAATGGCTCAGTTTAAATAGCTCACCTAGAACTAATAAATAGTGACAGATGAAGTGTACATGCATGTAATCACACCCACACATACAGTACATATGCGCACACACCTTTCCTCCATGTGAAAGTGTATGAATATGTTACAGCCTGCTCCTGCGCACAAGAATTCTTCATGAGAACCTATTCTACCTGCTAGCATGCCCTTTCTGACACCAAGAAAGCATAGCCTACTGGTACATGGATGTCCCTAGGAATGCCATGTTTGCTGGCCAGGAAGTACAGAAGGGTGAACAAAGGGTGAACAAGAGTTCCTATAGTTCCAGGAATGCAGTTGTTCGCAGAAGTTAATTTTACTGGTGTTTAACAGGAACATATTACTTAGGATGTACAGATAAGTCAGTTCATGAGTTCAGAAACATGGTTAATAAACAAGCAAAGGATCAGTTCAGGCAGCAGAATAATACTCAATAAACAGGCCAGGGTCAATGTAGATGGCAGACAGAGACAAAGCTGCTCTAGTGTGGAAGTGATCAAGAGCACTGTTGCTTGCTGCTCTGGCTCTGGTGACACTGTACTGATGTGGTGATCAGGGACACTGGTGATGGCTGTAGTGGTTCTAGTGACACTGGGATTTCTGTAACAGCAGTCAGGAAAAATGTTGCTGGATGTAATGGATCTGGTGACACTAGAATTGGTATAGCTAGCAATCAGGAACACTGTTGCTGACTTACACTGATCTAGTTACATTGGCCCTGGTGTGGTGACAGTGTTGTTGCTGGATACACTGGTCTGCAGGTGACAATGGGACTGGTGTGGTGACAATTAGGAACACTGTTGTTGGCTTACACTGGTCTGGTAATTTTGGGACTGGTGTGGCAACTGTCACTTACCTGGATAGTGAGCCTGACATGAAGAGGCAGGCGTCCCGTACATTTCCGGCTTGAGGGCTACTGATTTAAAAAAACAAAAAAAACAAATTCCGGCTTGAGGGCTACTGATAGTGGGACAACAGCCACAGGAGTACGGCGAGGTACGAGTGCCTGTGATCAAGTCCAGTAGTCTGTGTGTCAGCAGTAGCTGGCAGGCAGGTGAATCAGCAGGACAGACTGATGGCAGATATCTTTGCACAGACCTTGGTTGTCAGTAGGCTGGACACTTGCAGCAAGAAGCAGGATCCAGATGCGGCTGTGCCAGATGGATGAAGTGCAAGGAGCAGGATGGAGGATGTGAGATCAGACGAGCCAGTACAGTAGCAGTCGGGCAGATCAGGCATAGACAGTAGGAGGTAGTGTAGTCAGGTCACAGGCCAGGTCAGCAGCGGAGGTTCAATCAGACAAGAGGTGGAGGCAGAAAAGTAATCAGAGTAATCTAAGACAAGCCGGGGATAAGGGCAGGTAGCAGACAAGCGGACATTAGGAACAAGCTGGTTCAGTGTCAGGGGTCAGGCACAAGGATCAGGATACACACTCAGAATCTGTAGACCAAACAGCAATGAGACAACACTGCAGCCAGTTTAATTAGCCCCTTTGGTGCCAGCATTAGTGCCTATGCCCAAGTCCACGCACATTTGTCTGGCCCGTCACTGTTCTGTGCACGTGCATACTTGTGTGAATCTTCACCCGCACTATGGGCAAGCCTTTCCTGACAGCAACAATCTGGAACACTTTTTCTGGCTTACACTGGACTGGTGAAACTCGGAGGTGTGTGCCACTTGTGTGCCTACAGTGCTCTGGTGACACTGGAACCAGTGTGGCAGTGATCAGGGATGCTGTTGCTGGCTACATTGTCTTTGGTGACACTGGCACTGGTGTGGTGGTAACCAGGAACACTGTTGCACACTGGACTGGTCTAGTGACACTGTGATTGGTGTGGCAATGATCAGAGACACTGTTGCTAGATGGTCTAGTGACACCGTGATTGGTGTGGCAATGATCAGAGACTCTGTTGCTAGATGCACTTCTCCAGTGTGGTAGTGATCACAAAACATTGTTTCTGGCTGTAGTGATACTATTGCTGGTATAGTGATACCATACTAGTGTGTCAGTGATCAGGAACACTATGGTTTCCTGAACTAGTATAGTGACACTGTACTGGTGTAGGATCAGGGACACTGTGACTGGCTGCACTTTATGGTTACACTGTACTGTGTGGCTAGTGACCAGGGACACTGGCTGGCTGCACTGTCAGTGTCATTAAAGTCAGGGTCCTTGATCACCAACTACCTTAGTACAGGATCACTATAGTACATTGTCATTAAACTGGGGTAGCTAGTGATCAGGGGCACTGGCTGGATGCTATAGTGACAGGGAGTAAAAACACTGTAGAAAACACTCTGTTTCCTCTCACAGCACTGGGTTCACCATGCAGCCTTTGCTTTCCAAGTGTGATAGGTCACAGAGATCACATGGTACAGGGCCAATTTCATAGGAAGAGGCATTTGTCCCTATCAACATGGGGACAGAGTGCTTTGCCAGGGACCCCTCTGGTGAGGTACTCCCTGTCAGGAATGCATTCACCACTGGTGGTGGGACTCACCTGCCGTGTGGGCTGCAGTACCAGGGCTGGCCAGCGGGTGCTCTCAGCAACCAGAAGCTCACTCCTGCAATCAGCCATCACCTGAGGCTGATTGCAGGAGGTGTATTTAAGGAATGGCCAGACCTGCAGTCAGTGCCTTGGTGTATTGGTGTATTGTATTGTATTGAGCCCCTGTACCTGGTATCCTGTGTTGCTGTTCCTCTGCCTATCTTCTGTTGCCGACCTCTGCATTGTTGCTGACCATCTCCTGTTTAACCCTGGCTTGCCAGACCATCCTTCTGCCTGACCCTCTGTACCGTGCTGCCCTGAGTTACTGAACCCGGCTTGTGACCCTGACCATTCTCTGCCTGATCCTCTGTACTGTGCTGCCTGTGAGTTACTGAATCCGGCTTGTGACCCTTACCATTCTCTGCCTGCTCCTTCGGTACCTCGCTGCCCGCACATTGCTGACCTGGCCTGCCTGACTACGCCTTACGCTACCCAGACAAATTATCCATCCATCCTGCACAGATCCAGCCATCCCTGCTCACACCTTATGCCTCTTCACATCAGTATATACCTCTGGCGGATCCCTCTACCACGAGCAGGTTCCTGTCTGCTCCAAGTCCATCCCCACCATCAGGGGCCCTGGTGAATAAGCAGACTGGGACTTAGACTCCGTGCCCTGGGGAATCCTGTCCTGAGGACTGCTAGAGGTACCACCAGACGGTCATTAACAGAACCATTTGGCTGGCCTGACCATTCCACCTCTCCAGCCCTGACTACGCCTGTGTTCCTCCACATACTAAGATTAGTGGAAGGTTGGTTTGTTTACTGTGAGTTGTATATTTGGGTGGCTAATAATAAATTGTATTGTTATTATATCATTCCTGAAGCCTGTTACTTCCCTGTGTCAGTCCACACATTTCTGGTCATACCCAGATCCCTGACACTCCCACTGTGTGGAGATAATGTGCCTGGTACAGTTCAGAAGGGGGTAAAATGCTCCCCTCCTGTTTTTGACCAGGCTGCCAAGGGTCTTGTACTGATTCAAGGGGGGGGGGGACTCCATATAATTTTTTGGGGGTTTTTTTTTGTGTTGGCTCCACCCTAAAAATCCATACCTGAGGTTCAGTGGGTGGGTAAACTAGCCATATAGTTGGCCAGTTTGGAGGACTTTGATCTTCATTAAACTCTTGCCACAAATTAATATCCTAAGCTAGTAGCCTAATGTCAACAAAAAGGCGGGATCTGGATTTGGTCAATATCAATAGCTAGCATTCTTAACCCTTTTTTTTACAGTCAGCTACTGGCAGTAGAAATGTCATTAATGGCAAGAGTCTTTCAGACACTGTTCATTTGGTGATCAAAGTGTTTTGTTTTGGTGGGTCCTTCATCGTGATTCAATCATTGACATTAATTTATGGCATGTTTGATAATGAGTTTACATTGGGGGACATTTTTTTTTCTATGGAAGACTTTGTCACTGTGATGTCTGCTTTATCTGCCTTGTAAATATTTGTGAATTTGAAACTAGGTACCCCTTACTCATTCATGTAGGAGGTAGATATATGGGAGCCCTCCTTTTTTAAAAGGGACATCAAAATGAGTCTGGTACAGATCAGGAAGGGGTCAAACATTCATTGCCCCACCTGTCCCTGACCACCAAGGATGAGAATGGTCTGGTATGAATGTTCTTTTTTTTTGGGGGGGGGGGGGCTGTAATTTGTTAGGTTTTTTGTGTAGGCTTAACCCTAAAAATCTACCCTTGAAGTTCAGTTGGGGGGGTGGGGTGAACTGGCTATATAGGTTGCCCATTTGCAGGATGATGAACAATAGCATTTACATCTACTTCTACTCAGCCACAAACATGAATTTATCCTTATGCACCATGATAAAAATCATTTCATAAATGGTCAACACTGGTTTCAGGTGTACAGGTATTAATAATCTGTATTTAGCAATACTTCACAGTCTGTAAAACTAATAACTGACACTTTGACATATAGTGATTTTAAGTGATGGAAATTAGGCATTCAGCTTGTAAAAGTGCAATGAATATTTAAATGTTATTATTGTACAGAGAGCATCCTTATGGGAGACTAACAAAAAGACAGCCAGAGGCACTTGTAAGCTGAGAAAGTTTTTATCAAGTGAGGTGTTGTTAGCTGTACACTCCAGATGGCAGTGGGATACAAAACAATTCTACCTCTTGGGTTTGAATCAAATTATTTCAAGTCAGTAATAATCAGATGAGTGACATATAAATAGCCAAGGCGTTCACAATAAAAGGCTTTGAAACATCTTGTTCTTGTGTATTTTACTTATATTTCTGCCAGCTGGAGGTTACCAACAGACTGTTGAAAACATAGGGAGAATTCTACTGTCACAATGATTTTCTGACATAGTGTAATATATCAGCTCAAGGAGAGAAATACAATAGCCAGAAGACATTCAAATGGACTTAGCCTATAATATATTACATGCTAGTTCATCAGTTCCACATTTTTGTACCATTTACAAAAATGCTGAATAACAGATTATATTGAAATGTACATTAATGATTGAATTGACCACTTGAGCATTTGATAGAAAAAGATGAACATAACTTGCAAAATAGTGATGTTATCTTAAAATGTCGTTATGGGGTTTTGAAGGTCAGTTTGTTTATCACCAGCAGTCTTAACTCAATATATTTAGAAATCCAGGAGGGATTGACTATTCAGTGAAAATTTCAAATAAATTAAAATTGATCCATTTAAAGAAATCTCAAGCAGCGAACCGTATTATCAAATTTAGATTTATTTTAATCTACATCCCTAGAGTAAAACTACACAGAGGTCAGCTTTGATGCTGACAGATGATAATTACATAATTCAAAATATACTTCTAGTGAAAGCAGAACTCCCAATAAAGACAGAAGTTTACAGGTACTTTTTATTTCTCGAGTAACTTGTGTCTAGTGAAATAAGACACAAATGTAATTTGTACTAATTCTTTTTATATACAAAAATTCCATTGATTTTTTTAGGACATTTATGTGATAATAATTAGGATACACTTTAGAAGATCTCCAAGTTTCACACTTTGATTGAAAATCATACTAAATAATACAGAAATAATTATAACATTTAACTGGTCTGCGAAATGCATATATACCACAAAACTGAACTTCGGGAGATAAAAATAATGGCAATCAATGTGGATGTGGTTATGCATTATAAATGTACAGTATTTAAAAGTGATAGTAAACCTTCCTGGACAACTCAGCACCATGTAAAGCAGTATAACATGACTTACTAGTTGGTTACTAGCTGGTTACTAGCTGGTTTTTCCAAGGTGCACCATTTAGGAGCTATTATCCTCTTCATCTTTCAATTACGTCACTGGCACATGCAAATTGATATCCAGATTGATGGCACACTGAGTATGTCATAGCTCTATACAGTTACAGTATGTGCCATGTCTTTTTAATCTCACATTTTCTAAAGCACTGCTCAAATTGTTGACGTTATATAAATCCTGTATAATAATATTAATAATTGTAATCCCACAATAATTCTCATCAGCTCCTGAAGAACCCCATGTGACTATCTACATCGCAGGGGGTGTTTAGAAAGCATCAACACAAGATGAACACTGATTCAATTGCTGGCTGTGCAATAACCAATCAGGAGTAAGATACAGTACAGATGTATTCTGATTGGTTATGCGGGGCTAAGGCACCATGGTAATCTTGGATGAAAATGTTGCTTGGTTTACTTGTACTAAGCATGTGCGAGATTCCTGCAGTGATACAGGAGAAAGGATGGAAATACAGATGTGGAAGAAATAGGGAGGTTATAGCAAAGATGGCACTGGCTTCGGCTGGAACAGACAACTATCAAAACCAGCTGTATAAATAGCAAGACTGCTGATATGATGCTCCAGAGTAAACCTTTGTCTTTATAAACGCATTACATAGTGATATTGTGCGAGCTGTCGATTTTTTGTACTGAGTTTACATCCGCTTTAAATACAACTAATACTATTGAAATTATTTTGATTTGACATCGTTTTTTGGCCTCCTGTACAGAAACACTCAGAATGAGAGAGAAAGAGATAGAGAGAGGAGCAATGCCAAGGGCCAATCATATGCCTTATATTAACGTGATGACAAGGAACATCCTGAGAGGAGGAGATATGACCTCATCAGTCTATTATTACCCATTCAATATCTAGTTACTGGCTGATAAGAGTGAGATTCCCTAGCTGTGTTTCTTAACATCAGCAGAGCAAAGTTAAGTCACCAGACTGGTGGTACTGCCTGGCAAGAATTTGTAAATCTCAGTACTAATTGAAAAGAAATACAAATCCTTTGACAGGTAGGGCAACTGCTATATAGATTTGAAGCAGAGCTCCACCCAAAAGGGAAAGTTCCACTTTAAGTCTTTGTCCCCCGCTCCCCATTAAGGATTGACACCTTTGGGGAGTGGCCACGTGACAGGTCCCAGAAGACTATGGGGCCATTCACAATGTGCAGCGCTCCTCGGTGCTTCATGGCAGTGAAACCAGCCATGGTGAGGACACCGTTGGACCAAGGACAGGTAAGTGACTGTATTTTAACAGTCAGCATCTACAGTTTTTGTAGCTGCTTTTTTTTTTTTTTTTTTCAGATGGAACTCCACTTTGAACTATATTATTAGCTGTTTGCTTACAGTTAGCTTCAAATTCTTTTTCTACCTACAAGTGTTTTGCTGTGCTTCAGCGGTTCTTCTGCCCATCCACTTTTCAAAATGTTGAGGTATCTATGGTTGATCTTTCGATTCATGGAGCCCCTAAAGCAACAGATAAAAAATGCTTCTGGAATCACCTTTATCCAAGCGGGATTATTAGGCATTTATAGTATATTATAGTATAGGTCAAACATATTGCAGATGAAAAGGAGTATATGCAAGACATTTATTTCTTAATATTAAAGCGGTCACAAACCCTCACATATACCCAGTGAAGTGACTGACCTCAGATGATACACAGAGATGAAAGAAATCCTCATATATAAGTTGTACCTGTCTGTCTGAAGTTTTCTCTTCTATATAGCCAAGCTTATCTGAGAGTTCAAAAAAAGGGGGTGGAGAGCTGAGTTTACACTCTGCAGAACTCAGTGAGGGAGAGCTCTGAAAGCTTATTGGAGGGCAGAGACACTCCCCCCTCCACACTGTTTACAGGAGCAAAGCTGAGGCTGTCAGTCTATTGGAGTTCCCTCCCCTGTCACAATTTTGGTGTCAGGAAAACTTGGCAGAAGTGATTCATGTTGTTAGCAGAGGAACGAGATAGCAGACAGAAATGACACATAGTACTTTT